ACTTAATTTAGTAAGTACGCACCAAAAGGCGAACCATATAAGATGATTTCCAGGCTGATTCTCATTACTTTAATAATGACATACACACGAATTCACGCTAGATCTCTACTTAATTCAAGTACAAACGACAATCAACTTAATATATCTCTATTATTAGCCCCCTGTCACAACTAAATGGTACTACATTGCCCAATAGAGTTTATAATGAACTTTTAAAGTTAGGGCAAATTACACTTTACCCCCTGTGATTTAGTATTTTATTACATAATCTCCCTATAATTTCAAAAGCTATACATAACCCCCTTATGGTTTGAATTAAAGCGTCAAAGTGATGGAATTTACAATCTATAACGGAGTCAACTAAAATGTCAAAAATACCCTTATGTAAAGTTAAAAATTATTTATTAACCATAGGGCGGTTATGTATATATATTGAAAATCATAAGGAGATTATATGGTAAAGAACTAAATCATAAGAGGGTAATATGGTAAAATATAGAACCACACAAAATTAGAGTGTCATGCATATTACGTTTATATATTTTGGTCACTTAAGCCATTTTACTTTTTAAACAAGGGTAGTTTTGACATTTTTAAAGGTTCCATTACGGATGATCATTTTCATCACTTTAACACTTTAATCCAAACTATGAGAGAGTTATATATAGTTTTTAAAACTAGATGGAGGTTATGTAAAAATTAGCTATACCACTGGGGAATAAAGTGTAATTTGCCCTTAAAGTTAATATATAGTTACTTTATATCACTGCTTTGGGATCGAAACTTGAGATTTTAATTTTAACATTTGAACATGGTATAATAGAGTTTCTTAAATCTTAGCGGGCAAAGTCTATTTGTTAGAAGGCTATCAAAAAATTTTCTAATTTTTCAAAGAGGTATTTAAGAATTTTTAGAGTCTAGGTTGGGTGGCTACCCCATTTGGTACCCCTACCACCTGCATCCACCAGTGTTATATATGTCATGCATAAAATCTTGGCGGGTGTGCTTTGAATTTTTGGATGGCTCCGTTGTAGAGGGACCAAATCTGTAAAAAAAAATTTGAAAGGATATTTTTTCGCAATTTTGTAAAGTTCCAAGATAAGAGGGCAAAATATTTCGCATAATTGAAGTCATTTCTAATAGTTAAATGGACACTCACCAATTTAATTACAAAAACAAGCGAACTTGGCCATGCAGATACATGCATATGAAAGATGCTAGATATCCCAGAACCATCACGTTGCATGGTAATGCTTTTGCTTTGTCCTTACACTATTGGAAAAAAATCAGAGACAATACTAGATCCCAGAAGAATTGGTCATATTACGCAAATCTTCAAAAGAAGTCTTGGTAAAAATAATTTAAAAAAAAAAAAAATTGCAAGAGGTTCTGATCTGTTATAGCAGTCAAAGCAGCAGATCTATACTGTACATATAATTAATGTTTTGTTCACTTAAATAGTCTACCAGAGAATGGTTAAATTAAAATTCATTATTTCAAGCATCACTGTCAAGACACAGTTTTCTAAATATGCTTTGAATATGCTAATTGCTCGTTTCCCGTTCATGAGAATCCAATACGTATTTGCAGATCTCATGCTGGGGGATAAAGATAATGAAAATTACAAATTGAGTTGGTTATCCACCAATTACAAAGACACCCTACATCTATTTCATACCACAAAGGCAAGTTTGGTATGGTCTCATGGTCTCAATTTTATAGTGGCATAAATAATTTGAGAAATACATATACCTATCCAGGTGTGTCCATGCATACTAGACGTGAGATAGAGCAATAGAATGTGGTAATATTTTCATCCAATTTTGTAGATTAAAAGTGTTTTTTTTTTCTCTTTCAAAGAAAGAAAAGGATTAAAAAGGAGGGAAGAAAAAAAGAAAAACATTTATTTTAGTGTTCATTGTAAACCAAAAGAGCTTTGTTGGGGAGAGAAGTTCAACCATTCATAGCAGCTAGCCACATTCAAATAGGCAGTTAGAAACCTGTCATTTTGCAATAAAATTAATCAAGCCTGAATGCGTGAAGATGTGAAACTGGTAATGAAATGACAAATTGATAACATTTTCGATGATGTGATAGTGAGGATTAAAGATGCATGATTTTGGAAAAAAAATAAAAATACGAGCAGCAGCCAAGCTAATCATTTGATTAGTGATGTTGAATGTAGTATATTAGCTGTCATAACTCAAAACAAGAAGAGAGAAGCTAATAAATGGAAATAATCAATTTGTATAAGAGGACTGACATTATTTCCATTTTATTTACACACACTGACTTGCTTGCATCATCAACACATTTTTTAATCACCTTTTTATCTTACATACATCACATCAAAAAAGTGCTACAGTATTTTTTTACAAAATTATTTCAAATAATTTACTATCCAAACACACTCATGATTACTGTTAACGTTTTCGAAAAAAAAAAACAAAGACTAGTTGCATTATTGTTGGAATCTCAGAAAAGAATTACTATTCAAGAATATTTATGACCGAAGATATAAAACCTTGTAGATTTGAGGTCAATAAAAATGTATGAACTCATTAAAATGAAGTCTTTGCTATGTTAGCCAAACCGTATGGAGCAAGTAATTGGCAAAGTCCTTTTCCTTTGGATTGAGAAATTTAATGAAGAATTTGAAAAATCCATCAACATCACCCTAGTTGTTTGGATTGAATAAGAAATATTTGGACTTGTAATTTATCCAATTATATATCTAAATGTATTTTAAAAACTAAATCAATTAGTGAGTGACATATTCAAATATTTCCTAAATAATCTACACAATTAGAGAAATTTAAAAGAATTTCAAACACAGCCTAAATTGCCAAAGTCGTTTAGATAATTGGTAAGGTCGTCGTGCTATTTCTTTCTTATTTTCCATTTCTTCTCTTTGGTCGTCGAAATCGATAAAACCCATGTAAAAGTAGCATGCAACTTCCGCGCACCGCCGACTCATTTATTATTTCTAGTCATTGTAACATTTTCCACCCCGCGTAAAAGCTGGAAAATTATATCAATGGTGATTACTGTGAAATTTCAAGTAGTAGTAAAACTTGTACTTTTTCAGGAAACTATCTAGAATAGAAGTAGATATATATAGGCTTGAACTCTCGACTTTTTAAAATGAGATTATCTTCAATATGGCAAATTTGCAGAGTAAACAATGAGCAATTAATGAAAGAGTGTGCTGATTAATAAAATTAGGGGCTGGCATCCCCACCCTGTGCATAGGGTTGCCGTTAAAAAAAAAAATTAATGAAAGAGTGAAGTGCACCAATGGTCAACAAACCAATTCAAAAATTTTATTTTTCTCAAAAATTTGGTTAAATGAAGCAGATTAAACGAACTAGAAATAATGCAAGGGCAGATTGACCCCCAAAAAAAAAAAAAGGGTTGAGAAAAGTGATATTTTGCAATATTTTAGTAATTTTGCACTTTTGCCTTGATGAAAATATTATACTATCAGATATCAATCCTACTATAACGCAAATACTGCTATGTACTCAAATAATCTCGGCAGTGGCTCATTATTTCTTTTGGTCATCCATGCTAAGAAGTTTCATCCTTCAAACTTTGTGGAAAAAGTTAAAAAAGTAGTCATGATGGATACCTTTCAACATACGTGTTCTGAGGAACAGTCACAATGGAAGTTCTACCCCTACCCCCCACAATGCAAGCAACAGTCACCACCTAAACCTTATTTTAATTTCTGCATCCAATTGGTGGTGAGGAGCCTAGCTCTTCCTTTACAAAGAAAAAAGGGTTGCTAGAAGACTTGTTTCTGTTTTTAACTTCAGTTTGGAAGCAACATTTAAAATAATCGAGTAAAGATTTTGACCTTCTCATGAGAAAAATGTCTTCCACTTAATCATTAAAAAAAAAAATCATGTTCTCTCTCTTTAAATCTTCATATGTACAACTATGAGCTGTCCCGGTTTACCTATACATTCAGTCAATATATCTCCTATTCTTCTTTGCTTTTGTCTCTGTCTTTCATCCTCGCAGCATGGTGAGGCCTCCAGAAAAAGGTGTAAAGAAAGGGCCATGGTCGATTGAGGAAGACCAAAGGTTGGTTGAATATATTGAAAAGCATGGCCAGGGGAACTGGCAGGCTCTTCCCAAGCAAGCGGGCTTGAATAGGTGCGGCAAGAGTTGCAGGCTAAGATGGACAAATTATCTGAGGCCTGGTATTAAGAGAGGAGGCTTCTCGGCTGAAGAAGAATCAGCTATCATAGCCCTCCATAAGCAACTGGGAAACAAGTAATTTATCTTCTTTCACTTTCTGTCATTTTATTTTTATCAATGATGAAAAACTTCTGCACTCAACCTTCGTCTTATTTAACATGTGGTTTTAGGTGGTCAAGAATTGCAGCTCACCTTCCTAGACGAACTGACAACGAAATCAAGAATTTTTGGAACACGCATTTGAAGAAGAAGCTGCTAAGGAGTGGCATTGACCCGACAACTCACAAGCCAATTCCTGATTTTAGTCTTCTTAATCTTTCTCAGGCTCAGCTCTTATCAGTTTCTGATCTGCACAATTTCATCAATCCTTTGGATGCTGCTCTTAACTTACAGGCAAATGCTAATGACTTGATCAAGTTCCAACTCCTCAAAAACATGATGCAAGCTATAAATCCAAATCCTCTTCCATATATTCAGGGAAACACCAACTTGGCAGATCTTATCCAACTTAACCGGCTTTTCGACGGCACAAACACCGACTTCACCGTTGACCCCTTACAAGCACAGTCCATGAATACAAGTTTCTGCAATATTTCTCCACTACTCAATCAACAACAGACTTCCACTTCACATTCTTTGCCATGCTTAGATGGTCAAATCACTCCAGGTCCCATTCTTGGTGACGGCTTTAATGTCTCCAGCAACATGTATAACTCGGAATATTCTCTCCCGTCATTAGTTTCAGCGACACCTGAGAGTTCCATCATCAACCCGTTTGAAAGCTTCAAACACAGTTCTATACCCGCAGAAGCACCTGAGCAGTCCAATGTCTTCGATGATTGGAATAGTCTCGTGAACGATGAAGCCAGCAGTTCGTTCTGGAAAGACGTTTTAGGATGAGATTTCTACCCACTTCTCAAACTAAAGGTTTCAGTATATAAACATTCCACTAGGTAGTAGTAGAAATTATGCATGTCAGATAAAGTTTTCTCCTGTTTCCATTTTGCTGTTGGAAACCCTGTCGGGAGCAGAACCACCGGGCAGGGTGGTCGAGAATCATTCCACTTTTTACTTTAGCTCAGAGGAACCAAAATCTTGTCAAAATCCTACATATTTATGGAGTCATCTCCAAATTGAAGCAGTATCATGCCACCATGCATGATTATGATCGTCTTTGGCACCTTTAGGTGGGTCTGCCATGTACAAATATAGCTGACTACTTCGTGTATATCATTGTTCATTAATAATATAAATTGGTCTATCAAAATCTTGTTCCTTATAGAAAGTGTTTAATACAGTGTTCATCTTCTTTCAGGGCAGTCTTGAAACTTCAGGAATAGTTAAGCATGAAAGCATCTGTAGTCACTGATTATAAGATAAATTTTCCTTGTGTATTGATTTTGAGGGTAGGAAAAATCTTCATCACTTCATTGACTTCCTTAAGAAACAAGATCTTAGTCATAGATAAGATTTGTTAAAACGTTATCTACGTGAGACAAGACAGGCATCCAAGTTTAAGCATTAATCATCTTCTTTTTTTTTCCCTCAAGTTGTAGTGGGGCTGTTTGTAGAATCTCTTCTTGTTAATTATATACTGGGCCATGCCTCTTTTTGAGTGTCCAAGTGCCATTTCTGTTTTGGTGCAGTTCTACTTAGCATTGTTTGCCCAATTTTCTTGGAAAAAACACACAAGTGGAGTAGTGCAGGTCTGGTGCAGCATCATATAATAATAATCAACCAAACTAGATGGAGGAAAGCTAAACAACTCTGCCAGAAAGACTCTTAAAATTATCAAAGAGATGCAGGGAGACATCGACTACTTCATATCAGTCTTCTTAACTCATCTTCTGGCGCCTAGTAAACTCACTAGCTGTGATGTTGTTGTATACCTTTGTAGATAGCAATAAGATGAAACTCAGGTTGGAAAAAAGAATGAGGATGACAATTAGGTGTTATTACCATGTAATATATCCAGGCATTTATGACCATTCTCTAGAATTCTAGGGCCTAAGATGTCCTCATTCCTACTCATTTGTGAGCTGCTCCGGCACAATTCACTTTGTCCTCCTGGCAGATAAGAAGAATTCGTAAAGGAGAAAAAGAAAATTAATCAAAAGAAGAAACTTTCCCGTGGACATATTTTTTTATATTCAAATAAAGTTCTCAATTACAAAATTTCATAATGTATTTAGGAATCATTAAATAGTGATGAATATGAATCAATAGAATTAAAAAAAGAAACAAATCTAGAATATGACATTCTGAAAACATTATTTACTTTTTCTCAATAGATTTCAAGTTACGCGCAAGGGCCTTTGGATATCAGAAAATTAAAGGAACTGTAATGATCGTAAGGGAGTTTAAATGCACTATGATTCAAGTCAGATGTTTGTTACCTATTAGGTAAGATTACTTTCGTGCTATTTAAGCCACTAACTACACAAGGCCACATATTTTAACAGCCAAGGCTCGAATCATTTTGTGGTTTGTATATGACTTACCTAACTAACGCTAAATTTAGGCCTCTGAGTAACTCATATGACTAGTACTGCTAACTGTTAAGCCTTAATTAAATCCCTAGGGTCCAAGCCTCTAGCAGTCTCTGCTTTAGTATACAGTATAAACCTATTCTAACCCCTAAGGCTGCATACTGACCAAATTGCAGCCTGGTCCTATCATACATTATTGAATATTGATCTCTATCTATTAAGCAAAGGTTGGCAAGTATACTTACCTAGTGATCGACTTAGCAACAGAGCACTTGGCATATCCCTAGAAGAAAAAATCAGTGCAGCAGCTTAAAAGGTCAAATAAATTGTACAATTGCAACTGTGCCATGCAATCCGAATATGGTAAATTGGATACTGCAATTTGCTTGTGTTACAGGGTCCTAGTTGACAATACCAATAACATCCATTTACTCAGAGTTCTATCTAAGGTTAGGCATAGATTTAGGGATACTTCAAATCATGGAACTGCAAGGAAGTCAACAAAGGTAATTAATTAACTCACACTGTTACTATTCAATAATCATAGGAAGCAGATGACAAGGTAGGATAAGACATGCTTGCTTTGCTAACTTTCGTTGTGGTCCTGCTAAAATTTGTCTTTGAAATATCAAAACGTTTCTTGTAGATGAAACTCCTAGTCACACATTTATGGAACCTTTCTAATAAAGCTGTCTACTTTACATTCATGACAAACTTCCAAGCATGGAAATGCATGGAAGAAAATTAAAGTAAAACTTGAACTTTCAAAACTATGATGTATTTCTTGCTCTGACATTCAGTACCAATTTCGACTGTCCAAAAACCAGTTGGATGATTTGAAAACTCACACTTGACTGTTGCATGCGCCTTGAATGCTGAACAAAAAACTCAACATTGATATTCTGCTACAGTAAGCTCATTAACATTCTGCTCAGGCATACTTACATATTTACATACTCTGCAATGCTTGTCATACAAAAATAATCAAAACTTTATCTGAAGATTTACAACATTTAGCAGTCACCTGAATTTCTGAGGAAGTTTCTGAACTACAATTCCAGAAAGCGTATCATTGACAACCAACAGAATCCTCCACCCAGGAAGAAGCAACAGTCATTGCTCAACAGTTAAAGATGCTGCAATTCCTGCCATTACAAATAGAGACACCTGATATCATACACTAGTATATCTTGAACAGAATCAAAACAAAACCAAAGAAAGTTAAGCTTGCATTGTACTATCAACCAAATATACACTCCACCATGATTTGCTTCCAGAGAGTGAATGAATCTATTTATCATTAAATAATTATGTACATGAACTGTTCACTGCAGATACATTCCTGAAAATTTTGTTTGTTGGAGCAGAAGTAGAAAAATCTTCTTTGTAGGTTAACCCTTCGATTGCTGTATTTTTTCAACTGTTGTTCAAGCGCCCCAATAACAAGCTCTTAGTTTGATATTTAAACATAATCAATCCATGTAAACTTTATTAACTTTCGAAACGTCAATAGTCGTAGCTGTGATTACAAAAAAATACATCTCATGTATTTCATTTCAGAGTCTTTGATTACCGAATTAATATATATATCTAACTATCAAACCTTTAAAAACTTCTGAATATCCATCATGTGCAAGTTATTTGCTAGCATCACACACACAAGCATGAGAGAGAGAGAGAGAGAGAGAGAGAGGGAGAAAGTGAGAGGACTGAGGAGGAAGTATGACAAAAGTTTTTCTGCCTTGTACTATTTCTGCTAAATAGGTAAATAATAGAAACCAATATACAATGCACTCGACCTAGAACAATGGAAGGAGCAGTTGGGCAGAATCAGAATCACTTGAGAGAGAGAGAGAGAGAGAGATAAGGGAGGAAGGAGGATAAGATGACATCAAAGATCTTTCTGTAACATACTGCAATCAACCAATGTAGCATCTGCAAAACCACCTATAAACAGAAAATCGACAAACTATAAACAGCAGTTAGAAGGATAACAGAGAAAAGGAAGGTGGTGCTAATTGTGCTTGACTCAATAGCAGAAGTTTTCATAGAATGTCATCTCATAAGCCAACATTGATACATGCATTTTCCAGATTACACTATAAACTGCATAAAGCAAAAGTTTGAAGGAAACAAAAGCAAAACCATTAATGACAAAAGTGAATGACACAAATGCACAAAAAAGAATTGGCAAGCGTGTACATTCTTAAATGGTGAACTCAACTTCTTTAACCACCCTTAGAAAATGAGCACCTCTCACTTAGACCATGAAACAGGTTCTTCGAACCCACTAATTTGAAAGAACAATCCTTTGTGATTCTATAACAGTATCTATTATCTTTAATGGGCAGGTTCGCATTATGCTTAAATAATTAATCCCTTCTGGGGAATAAAAAATTAATCCCTTCTGGAATGCAAAAAGAGCAAGTGAGGTTGCAAAAACTAGGAGGAAAAGCCAAGTCAAGAACTTCGCTCCAGAGTCTCTCAACATGAATTCTCTTTCTAACAAACCAAAAATGATTTCTGGCATCTACTTTGAAAGCATTTTGCGTCTCTATAGACAATAATGTTCCCAAAAACAGAGAGTTCTCTTCTGTTTACATATTTCCACATCAAGATGTCCTTTCTAAATCCATCCCACCTTCAGCATATTCACCCATTCCATTCTCACTCTCTGGTCTTACCGTCATCGCAAATATCCCATGCTAAAGATGAGTACCAATTTATCCAAAACAGACAAAAATATGTCCAAAAGTGCTCTACCACTGGCTTTTGCTGAAGAGTAAGTATGGAGATTAAATTTCTTGGACTCTTTCCAATTATACTGCTTTAACTTGTTCCTATCTCACACATAAATTGAGAGTACTACCTGTTGTATCCAAAATTAGGTCCTCTTAACTTTCTAGAAACTTCATCTATCATTAGTATTATCATTTAAAAACTTGCACAATTAAGACCAGTTCATTTAACACCACCATAGTTTACAGCAATCCATGTGCCACTTAATTTTTTCTTAAGAAACAGTAAACTATACCTCAATGTTTCATGCATTTGCCAGGCTAAAACAGTTCCTTTTCAAACAAATAATGTTCACCTAGTAACATCTAATTCTTGCTAAATTATCTCCCAGATTTCAAGCTCTAGTATGTCTTTGTCATCTGGATGCATTTAACTTTGCAGAAAACAAAAGAATAAATAAACTGATTAGGACTTTCTTCATCCAAACTTAAACCTCAATTTGCATTTAAGAACTTGTAAAGAAACTACTGCTAAAAAAGTATCTTGTATGCTCATCTTGGTTAGCAAGTCCATATACATATGTTCTTCATCTTTACTAGTCATTGCTCATCATCCAGAATGATACAGGAATACTTCTGCGCTTTATATGTAGCACTTACTAGCATGCTTTATTCTGAGGGCATAGTTAAAACATTCATCATGCATAATTATTATTGTTCCTTTACCAAATCTCATGACGTTTCTCTTTTGTTTCAACAGAAAAAAGAAATATGTAAAACAGAGAAGAAGCATGACAAAAATTGCATTGACATTACAGGAACATTCTATCCACTAGGGAGAACTACTGAGTACTTGAAAGAGATACAAAACCATATACTTTAAATATTTAGAGTAATAATGGTTCCCTCTCATTTTGGGAAACAAAGTAAACAAAAAACCTGAAATTCTATGGGAAACTTAAAGATGCTGAAATAGTTGAGAGGAGAGTATATAGGTGTTGCTAAAAAAGTTCACTCACCAGAAAATGTAAATAGAGATAGCAAATTCCCATCCCGAACTCTTTTCCTTCACAATTCCTGATAACCCATTAGCATCCTGAGATTTTCATTGTAATTCCCAGTAATAATTGCTGCACCACCTAGCAAATAGCAATCAAATTTCAAACTGATATCATTAAATGAATCTATGCTTGTATTTGATTGTGAATAATATGACAGATTCAAGAAACTTACAATGGCAATTATGAATTAAAATGTCAGAAAATTTTTGACATTTCATAAACTATAGCCTAGAGCACATGCTCCACGACAAGCTGCTCTATTAGGAGTTATTAGTAAAACCGGCAAAAAGGAATAATCTTAAGTCACTTTACTTTGATCACGTTAGGAAACATTCTTATCAACAGCCAAGACAAGTAAATGGAGCCACTTGTCTTAAGGTACATCAATACTCAATAGCAGCTTCTTCAGTAATCATGTCTACCATATGGAACAACTGATACAAATGCATGAATTCTCTACAATCTTATTAAAAATGCATTGGATGATAATGCAAGTTTAAAGAAGACTACGCTTTGCATAGCATGCTGAAACCTTCCATCCACATAGTGACATCCCAGATAAGAAAAGAAAGAAAGCAAACATGGATAATACATGTTTAAGATTGCAGAGGAAGGGGGGACTGAATCACACCTTATTCTTTACTCGCAATCAGCCATCCTAGACAGCGTCAATACAGGTGTTTTGTATCTATTTTTAAATATCTCACAATGAGAAACCATAAATCTGGAGCTGCTTCTTCTCATTGATGCTCCCAAAAGTTTGGGTCATAAAATCTGTATTCGGTCACCAAGGATGCAAATCAGTGCAAACAATTGCAGATGAATGCATTGGAAATGAGCCTTTAATGAAATAAGGATACCTGAGAGACATACTAGCTTGAAAAGCCAGTAGTTGACAGCCAAATCTCCAAAAATACCAAATGACGAGACTTTTAAACTGCACGGTCAAACGAATGACACTAGGTAACTATTTGAATTTGACAAAAAACCACCTCTACATCACATACACGATACGGATAACAATCAAATATATATACACCTTTAACCAGACAAAAGTGCTGGCATTGAGATGATGCAAAAAGCTCTTCAAGACTGAGTCACAGAAAAACCATGACCAATAAAAAGTAATTCACATAGCATCTAAAAAATCAAAGATATGAGCAGTAACTGACTATGGAAGCTTGTAGAGAGAAACTGTGTTAAAGAAAATTTGATCAAGAAAAGTATGCATCAAAAGAAAATTTGATAAATTTGGTAACACGTGGAAAAGTAAGAAACAAGCATCCAAGATAAATTTTTCTCTGTGATCGGTTACTAATTAAAAGGATTTTCCCCTACATATTTCTATACATTTTTGGCATTGGTTAAGCCTTTGAATAGAATACTCACTTTCAGTACGATCACAGATGGGAGGAAGCACAGAAGTCAAATTCAAAACTACCTCAACCTTCCACAACCCAGACTAGCTTCATAATGCTTATATTTGGCAATACAGCTTCTTTGTTGAGATAAAAGTTTATAAAGCACTCCCATCTGAAGAGCCTTGCTACTACACTTGGACCCTTCAATAACTTAACAAAGTCACCTTGTCGACATCTCATTTGCACCTTGCTGCACCTGAGAACTAGTTTTATAAGGCATTCACCTTTGGCAACTATTGCATCATGGAAAACCCTTAGTTGATGATCAGGTTCTGGGTATGTAATATTGAATAACTGGACTTTGCTAATCTTAATGAACCCTCCTGATTCATCTTGAGATGCTTGTTACAAGGATCCCATTTCACTACCTTTGACAAATGCTAGTGATAGATGCAACAAGAGAAAACAGACAAAAATGCTGGTTTTAAGTATCACAGATATGCATACTAGAAATGGAGACAACAAATTCATTAACATCCAACATACAGATTCCAAAACCGACCCCTGGAAAAAAACAAGTCAATATTACATATATTATCCAACAATGTAACCACAAACAACAAGAGAATAAGCCCTCTAACCAACATCCTGCTTCCGGAAAGCAGCCTGGTCAAACTGGGTATCCAAATGAATCCTTTGAACCACTGCAGATGCTTTCAGAAGCAACTAAATTCACAGTAATGTCAAGTTTGTGGGTCTCCATCGAGCCCAAAAAGGTAAATCAAATAAAACCCAAGAAATTTGCTATCCTTCAAGAACAGTTTCCTGAAAGAAGCATGCTACATCTGACATAGCAATTTAGCATAGATTAGAACTGCATGCAACAACAAAATAAGCCCTGCACCTCAGATCAGGCATCTGGAGAGCAGCCTATTCAAATTGGAATCTCTAAGTCATTTAGTTACATCTACATACTTCGGACACGATTCAAACCGGAATCTTCTCATCTACAAACACCATTATCAGATATGACATAAGCTGCCCATAATCAAACTGAAGTTTATGATTGTCAGTACTGTCACTTGTGGTAAGAAATACAGTGCAAAAGTAGATACTATAATCATAGTTGTAAACAAAAGACTCTAACAAGAACTTTTTTGACATAGCAAAATGATTTACGTGACCAAATGGCTAAACTCATTAAATCATGTTACCAAAGGAGTTTGCTTACATTTGCGATTTTTTGATAACTATAACCTCCCTAAACATTTCAGCCTATTCAACAGCACCTATCTATGCAATGTACATGATCAACAAGGTACACCATTTAATGTCTGTTAGCAATCTAAAACAAAGCAAGAACCTAGTTATTCACCGCTACACTACCTATCTGCCTTCTGAAGCTCTCTATGTCAAATCTGGAGAAATTTCCACCATCATTCTGCAATTACCCACCTCCTTTTTCTTCCCTCCAGATAAATCACGAAATTGCTGCAACTCAGACTTGAAGGGAATGTTCCTTTTCTTCCCGCTTAAGAGGAGAAGCCGGGATCATGCCCTCATCCTCCCCAAAACGATGATGACCGCAAATGGTATTCCTCGTGCCAATTTCACAGGTAGCCAACTTTGTAGCATCAAAATCCTTATCATCATTGGTCAAAAGTTTCCAGAAAAAATCCACTAAGACAGTCTCATAATTGGGCATCTTAGCATAACCAGGAAAGTAATTAATGTCAACAACAAGATACCTATTTCCAACTTTGGCGTCCCTAATAACATCAAAATTGAATAAATGCAGCTTAGTTGCCCTCCTCAAACCCTTGGCTATCTCATTTATCAAGCTCATTGGGGGCAACTCTGCACTCTCCAAATGCATCAGTTTATAATATTTGTCAGGATTTATCTCATGAGCACCTACGTTAGATACCTGACAGAATGATAAGGACCCCTCCAAGCTCCTCAAATTCTCCTCACTGATGTCAGGCAGAGACTTCCTCTTCACACACTTCACATACTCGCCAACCACGTAGACCTTGAAAATCACCCCACCATGATTTACAAACTCCTGCAACACAATCGGTGGCTTGAGCTTATTCAGCCCGTCATTGTTATAAACCAAAAGCATCTTATGCGATTTCGCGCTGCCATCGGCAACTAACGGCTTGGCAATGACAGGAAATTTCAGACCCTCCTTTTCCACATTCACCTCCGAGACCGAACCAAAATCATAAATCACAGTCTGCTTTGGAATCCCGAACGAAGCCGTCTCCGCCCCTGCTATTTTAGACGGGTCCATTTCGAGCTCCGCCACCACCTGGAGCATCGAAATCCGGTTATGGAGCCGCTCAATTGCCTCCGGCTGGTCAATAATCAAAGCGCTAGGGCTGTTCTCCTCAAACTCCTTCAATTGCCGCTTCCAATCATCACTATACAACTTATGGAGCACGCAATCAAACGGTCCTTGATCTACCAGTTGCCGTTGGAGGTCGATTTGTACCAAATCGATGCCTCTTTCGCACGCGAGTTGCACAAGCGAGCCTTGTATGAAGCTCGCTTGCTTCTTCGGCGCCAACGCATAGCCGACCGCGAACCTTTTCGGCTCCTCCATTGTCCAAATTTCGCGAGAATCAAGAAATGCAGAGGAATTTAATCTTCGATTGGGGAAATCGATGGCTTCAACAGGATTGCCGCATTGCAAAAAAATGCAACAAAACCCCAAATAGCTCAGCACCAATTTCAACCGAAGAAAATGCTAGGGTTTTTGAAATGAAGGAATCTTTCGTGGAAATTGAGGTTAAAGAAAAAAAATTGAAATGTACATGTAGATATAAGCATGTGTGTATATAGATATATATATATATATATAGGTTCTGTAGAAAGAATAGGAAAGCAGCAAAAAATAAGACCGAGAAAGGCGAGATAGAAAAAAAGTGAGTGAAGTAGGGTATTTATAGGATAAGGGTAGGGAGGGGTCGGCAGGGATTTGATATCTTCACTCGACTGTGCTGTTCAAGTTGACGTGGACGCGCTCCATAAACGCGATTAAACGGGGCGTGACTGTGCGGTATCAGGTAAGCCGAGGGTGATGGATATGGACGGTGAGGATAGGGAGGTCTATTAAGAATGATGGAGGTGAGAATTGTTTGGGATTTGGTGAGCTAGTGGTAGTAGTAGCCATTTTGACTATGGTCTGGTGTTGTATTGATTTGGGGGAATATTTTGGATGGTTAGGGGAGAGTTGAAAAGTGGTCCTAATAATAGCCGTTGACTCCAATTGGGAAATGGGAATAAGGGATAATTTAATTTAATTTTTTTTATTTTTTTTGCTTCTTGTGGATTAGATTCTATTGGTGTATTCTTTTATTCTTTTCTTAATTAAATAGTAATGGATATGGGATTGGTGTTTGTGAGAAATTAAAAAATAGTAATGATATACGTCCATATTGGTTGAGGAGGGGAATTGGATTTGTTTTATGACTTTTTGGTAAGGGGGCTTTTTCATGATTGTGACTGGAAAGAGAGAAATAGTACTACAAAATTGTGGTGAATCAAAAAGACAAAAAGGTCTTTGTTGGATAAAGGGATGTGTCTGAAATTGTCGTGCAATTCAGCTCCATTGAAAAGTTCTAAAAAGCAATTTTCGTGGGTTGGATGTGTTCTTTGTTGCCTACGAAAATGAAAAGAGAGAGATGAAGATCTACGAAATTGAAAAGAAAAGGAGATAAAAGAAGAGGACAAGTGGTTTGTTTTCTTGCCTAGCTTGAAATAATGGAGAAGGAGGTGACTCAAGCCACTACTACTTGTGGTACATTTCTTGTTTTCATGTTTCTGTGCAACTTTAGCTTTTGGTGTTTTGTTGATTGCCTGTGAAAAACATGGCCAAATTGTGAGAAAAGAAGCTTCTCATTTCCTCTACTGTAATCGGGTACTGCATCATGTACAAAGAAAGGTAATAAGGGGAAAAGTAGAGGGGAGAGGGTCTGTCATAAAACTACATATCAGAACTCAATATGAAGAGTTAGCTTAGACAAGGTAAAGATGGGAAACAAGTAAAACACACAAGTATATATATATATATATATATATATATATATATATATATATATATATATATATATATATATATATATATACTAGGGAGGAGTGCCCGCGCATCGCACGGGTGTTTGGTGCCTATGAGGAAGGAGGTTTTTTTGTTGAACAAACAATAGTACATTGTGAAAAGAAATAAAACTTAGTATGAAAAGATAAACGATATAATCAATCAATTCACACAGCGTTACAATAAAACTGTGTCAAATTGAAGGTCGTTGATAATGCAGAAAGGCAGAGCAACACAGAAAGCTAACATTATTCCAAAATCTCCACTGAGAGCTCTTACTTGCTATTGCTCCAAACCTATAAGATTATAACCAACCCAGACCAATTGGGATTAGGCAACGTGATAAGAGTTCCTAATTGTAGGTACTAAGAACACACCGACAAAATTAAGGGAGGAATTGAAAAATTGGAAGGGGTGAAATCTAACCTCACGCTGAACCACCAGGAGTAACTGGGACTGAAGAGCATTCTGAGCTCATTAGTATGAAGCCAGGTAGAATTATTCCAATCCTAAAATACGAACAGGGAGAAATTGATAATCAACCGTTTAGGCATTAACATTAGGAGTGGCAATTTCCGATACGACCTGAAAACATGACACGAACCTAACACGAAATTAATGGATTTGGGTTGAGATTTCGCGGGTTCGGGTCAAAATCTGGTCGAACTTAATGGACCCGAAAAAAAAACTGGTCGAATTCGGGTCAACCCGTGGGTAACCTGATATGACCCGATAACCAGTTTATGAATTAAAAATAATTTAATAAATATAAAAATTATTTTATCTAACTAAACTAAGTTATTCTTTTTTTCCAAAGGCATTAATCACTTAGTCCTAAATGAATTTATTTAACTTGTGTGAAATTGAAATTATTATATTTGGACAAATAATGTATTATATTATTTTTTACTTTTATACTGTTTTAATTTATTTTATATTTGGTTTGGGATAAAACACTTTTACAGTGTTTTA